CTGTGCAAGATTTGTTCTACTCTCGTTCAAGGAACATGCTTCAAAAGTCTTGAACTCCATAGAATCTAGCCTTAAAATTAGCAATACAAAACCTACGAGTTTGCAGTTTAGGAATAGCATGGCATAACTTTAAAAGTAATGATCTTAACTCTACATATTTGTGGTTTTGCAATGATATTGCATTCCGCCATCATTGAAGTCATTTTGAGTGACTAACTTATCTAGTCAAGGTTAGCAGTGACTATAATAGTGAAGTGCAGGCATCTGGTTTGGGTAAAAATGGAATTGGGGCTCGTTTTGGTCAAATTGTCCTTAAATGAAAAGAATGAAAAGGTTTCAGAGCAGAAGCTTTTAGATTCTGCTACACATATTCGGACCATTACTGGTCCAAATATGTTTTCCAGACCAATAGTGGTCTGAATATGTGCAGCATAATTCTTTTTTTTTTTTCCCTAAACCGTGCAAGATTTGTTCGACTCTCGTTCAAGGAACATGCTTAAAAAGTCTTGAATGTCATAGAATCTATCCTTAAAATTAGCAATACCAAGCCTATATGTTTGTGGTTTAGGAATGGTGTGGCATAACCTTAAAAGTAATGATCTTAACTCTACGTGGTTTTGGTTTTGCAATGATGTTGTGTTCTGCCACTGTGAAGCCATTTTGAGCGACTAACTTATCATGTCAAGGTTAGGAGTGATTATAGCAGTGAAGTGCATGCATCTAGTTTTGGTGGAAACGAAATTGGAGCTCATTTCAGTCAGATTGTCCTTAAATGAAAAAAATGAAAAAGTCTTAAAGCAGAAGCTTCTAGATTCTACAGCACATATTCAGACCACTATTGGTTTGAATATGTTTTTCAGACCAACAGTGGTCCGAGTATGTGCAGCAGAATTCTTTTTTTTTTTTTCTTCCCTAAACCGTGCAAGAACAGAGTGGAAAGCTTCTAGATTCTGCTGCACATATTTGGACCACTGTTGGTCCGAAGAGTTTTTCCATACCAACAGTGGTCTGAATATGTGCAGCATAATTCCTTTTTTTTTTCCTTTTTTTTTTTCTTTTACACCCCAAACAGTGCACAATTCATTTTCAATAGATCAACATTAACATTTTAAATAAAATAAATATAATTATATAATTATAAAGTAAAAAATATTAACCAAAAAAAAAAAGAAAAGAAAAGCAAAGCACAATACACATTGATGAGCTGAATTTATATACATATTAATGTTGAATTTTTGCCTTGATATTATTAATATTTGGATGAATTTTATGAGATTTTACATAGGTTTTATTCTTTGTGCAGAAAAAACTTGAATGCATAATAATAGGAGTTTTGGGATTAATTGAACATCTTTTGAAAGTTGAGAGACTGAACTGTAAGAAGAAAGGCCCTTCTTTGGGGACCTAAACGAATGAATACTAAGTTTTGGGATCTAAGTGCTCATTTTACAAATACATGGAGGACTAGATCTATAGTTTTACCATTGAAGAAATTGCAAAAAGAGGCTAGAAACCCGACACTAGTGTGGTTTCGACCCTATGCGTCAAGCGACCAGAATTAGAGTTTCTGTTTCCTGTTATGTGTCGACACACATAATATAATTATAGTATTTATTAAATTAAAATTAATATAGTAAATAAAATAAACATAATTACGACAATGCAAAATATGCAAAATAAAATAAATATAATGATAGTGACATAAATTAACAAATAACATAATAATTGAAATAATAAATAAATAAATAACTTATAAATAAATGTAAAGCATTGAAAGAAAAAAAAAAAAAAAGAAAGAAAAGGAAATTCTTATTCGGGCCACTATTAGTTTAAATAACTTTTTCGAACCGGTAGTGGTTCGAAAATAATTAAGAAAAAATGTAATTAAAGTTTTTAATAG